AGAGAAAATTATTAATCTTGTATATCATATATAACTATTTATATTTTATACATTATAATTTTATATTTAGTATTATAAGTTTACAATAGAAATAAAATAAGAATATTAGATGTTAAATGCATTAGTTATTTTTTCAAATTTGATTAAAGTATGAGTATGCAGAAAATAATTTACAAAGTCTTTAAAAGAAAAGATGCAAATTGTCCAAACGATTCTCCTACACTTGAGCCATTAAGCCTCAATGCTTCAATTTATGAATAAAAATAATATGAATCAAAATGTTCAACACTCAATCCTAAAAAAATGAATGCTTTTTATTACATAATTTTTAATTGATGAATTTGAATTCAGAAAATATAATCGAGCATAATTTTCCTAAAAGATTATATATTGTAAGTTTTTATTTTCTTGATTTACATGTTATATAAAATTATTTTATTATCAAATTTTTTATTAACAATTAAATTTAATATATTAATTTTTAAAAATTTTAACCTTTATTCTTCTATCTCTATCTTCGGGCCTTTCAATTAAAATTGGTTAGCTCTGTCCTTATTGTTATGTCATCATATTTTGTTAATGATGTTAGATGTTAGAACACATTGGTACAATTTGAAAATTTAGATACGATATTAAATATTTCTTATATATAGATGAGCTACATATGACATTATCCCTACTTATAAATAGTTGGAGAGAGCTTTTTTTTTTTTTTATCTTTTCCTTATTATAAGGTGTAATAATTGACTGTACATTGTCAGGACATATATATTTCACAAGTGGACAAGATTTAAGTAAGGTTCTTTAGGTTAAATGCGTAGGTTCTCCTTTAAAAAGATCAATAATAATTGCTTAACATAGATAATCCTAACTAGTTAGGAAAAGATGTTTGTACCTTTGAGCTTTTGATGTTTAGATCAAGAAGTTAAGACAACAAGATATTAAAATCATTTTTTCACAAAGCTTAGGTTGTCGCAAATTTTAAATTGCTCAATTGTCTAATCCCTATTGTTGATTCGCATCGACTCCAAATAGAATAACAACAACAATGATAATTTTGGGTTTACTTATGCTGCCAAGTGTAGTGCTAACAACTTACTTCCCAGGAGAACCAAAACCAACCAACAGGGGAGTGGAGGAATACATATCGCCGACTTCCAAGGAAAAGAAGAGAAACCAATTCTCAGAATTAGGGAACTTTTGCTGAATTCTGTCTTCACTCTTTCAAGGTTTCGACCTTTCAAGTAGTGCACAATTACCTATTGTTGCAGCATAAGAGCAACTGTATAATCTTTATGCTCCTTACAAAATTGGTTTTGATAAAATTGAACTTATTCAATTCAGTCCTCGAAATTTATACTTGTTTCAATTAAGTTCAATTTAATCTTCAATCCTTTAGTGTATATGACCTATTAGATTCTTTGTATGTTAGTAGTAAATATGAAATATAATTCTAATCCAATTAGAATTAGATGAATTAAAAAATTTACACTTATCATCAACTCCCTCATTGATTAGTTTCATATTTAAAAGTCAAAATTGATATCTAGCAATGTATCATGATTATTGAAATATTAAAAATGAAGGCTTATGACACAATGTCTACTATATGTTTGTTTTTTATCATCTTAATTCTTGAAACTTGCTCTTAACTCTTTAATAAAATTCGAAAAACTCATTTTCCAAATCTTCATTCTACCTTGGCCGGGATTTCCTTGAGTTACATGTTAGGAAACAATGGGATATCAACATCAAATCACTTGAGGTGGTTTATGTTGCATCCAACGTTCTACCTTGGCTAGGATTTCCTTGAGTTACATGTTAAGAAACAATAGGATATCTCTCTTAAATCACTTAGGATGCTGCATCCTTCATTTAATAAAATTCAAAAAATTCATTTTTCAAATCTTCATTCGATACCTTGATCAGAATTTTTTGAGTTAAGACATGTTAAGAAACCATGGGATATATCTCTTAAACCACTTAAGGTGGTTTATGTGACAGCCGTCGTATGCCCCATTGTACATCCTTTGTTAAGATACTTAAGGTAATATCAAAATATAACAATTCTTACACAAGATAATTTGCTGATTTCAAGTCTAAAAATCATTTACACAACTCACATATGAGAATATTTCCTATAGACACTTAAGCAAGATATTAATTGGAATTCTCATGGGAGGTTATATTCAATAAACTTGTTCTTGCAGCAAGTATGCATACAATTTTTAAAATATTCTAATACTCTAGTCTATAAAATCGATTATTTACTTCACAAATAATAAATATAACATTTGCTAGTCTCTCGGCATATATCAATGTCCTATTTGATAAAGTATAGACTAAAAACTATTTACGTGTGATGTTTTGATGTATTGAAGATTTCATAGTTAAAACACATTATAAAATTAAAGATGTAAAATATAATCATTCTAAAACTTTAACTTGTAAGTAATAAATATACCAAAACATGTAAAATTAAAGATGAAGAAAACTATTTATTATTGCAATGGGTAAAATCAAAGTCAATATTAATTTTCTATGAAACGTGTCGATTGACTTGTGTGAAGCA